TAAATTTTAAAACACTTTTAACCATAATAAAGGAAAATCCAACAATGCAAAACGCGACAGTCAACCAAAAACAAATATCAACATAATAAATTATACAGATAGATGCATGCATATCTAATCAGTACATATAATGAAACTGGAGCTGAAAACTGAACTTTTCATTCTAAGCGGGATTGGCATTGCTTCACTAGAAGGGATGAACATACCTTGTTCCGGTGAAGCAACCGTCCTTCAGACATGAGGTAAAGCCAAACTATTGATTTTGTAGCATTAGATCCACACTTTTGAATATTCCTTTTTCATAAAGAGCGCTCAAAGTTTAAAGTTTTTAAAACAGGATAGCCAAAACATTTAAAATCAACGGTAGCGATACATATTTTAAACTTAAGTTGCCTTTGGAGAGTAGAGATAACCGTCCGATGTCAGCTTGCATAGTCTGACAAACACACACTGCAATTGTTCAGTATGCTATGCATTTCGTTTGCTTGCTGTCTTTTAAACAGTAATTGGTACTAGTATCTTCTTGACTGAAATACTGTACTGAAATATTGCATATTTTATTATGTTGTATATTGTTTATACTTGTATTATATTCCATTAACGCTCCAAGGTAATAATGTGCATTTGAAATAAAGTTATAAATATTTTGAAGGTTGAGAAGATAATAATGTCCCTTCATGATGACAAAATGGAATCTGAAGCACATCAATTTATTAAACCGTACATTTCTGGAACAGGTGTATATAATAGTCATACGTATATCAATTGTGCACTATAAATATGACAAGTATCCGTAGCCCTTATCCAAGGGAAGATAATAACGATTTGAATGGCATAACTGCCGTTAACAATGATATTCAATCATAGGAAATGCATGTTTTAAAGAATACAAACAATAAACGTGCTAATTGTCTTTCGTATACTGAAATGGTGAAATCAATGAAATCAGCATCTTATTTTTGCTTCAGTCTATGGACTGTATTTGAAAAATAATTCATGGGGGATTGAATTTATACTGATTTTACCACAGGTTGGCCCTTTGTGCTTAATATTTTACCAAGCCCGATAGCAAGGAGTACAAAATTAACATAAAGCAAGCTACAATGAATTATTTCTTTTCTAATACGACAAAGGTCGGCAATTCTTTTGGATCGAAGGCAAACATTTGCTGTTCCAATAGTTAAACACACTTCTAATATTGACATAAAGGGCGAAGAACACTGAATAAGTGACATGCTAAGACTATTTACAATAACATGCTTGGATAGGTTATGATGAGGTTATATGATTAAGAAAATGAGCTTTCAACAAATAAGTATCCGTTGCCGATTAGATGACATACAATATATTCATATTTTATGACGTGTGTGAACTTAAAGCGTTTGAAGAACGTCCTGTAAGAATTACAAATACCGGCAAAATTAATATAATTTCTCTACAGAGCACATTCTTATTAACATGGCAAGTATTATTTTATATTAAAGCACTACTTGTAAGTTCTGCCTTTTCTCATAAGATTACAACATATAAGAAACAATGACTTGTTTAAATTCCCGGCAACAATCATTTATATGTTAACCTTGGGTAGATTTTGCTATTCTTTTTAGCATTCCTTTGATATAGCTCCTCAGTTTTCATGTATTCTTACATCCTTGGTTTTCATTTTATGGAGTTAGGCTTTCCAGATATAGAACAAAAATTTAAGGAAAGCGCTGCGGACATACTTATTTCATAACGTTTTATTTCTATAATCTAATGTGGAATTCGGATTTTACATAAAGTTGATAACGGTTCTTAGAGTTCAAACTATCGTTTGATTTGTAACATTAAATTAGTGTTTAAAATGATTTTGTAGGAATCTTTTCCAATGATAGCCTTGAGAAAATATCATTTGCAATAGCTGGTGAGTGGGAATCCATGGCGAAAAAACTTGGTTTTACAAATGATGAAATCAATAAAATCAAAAACAGTCAACCAGGAGCAGTCAGACAGACACTTAGGATGTTAGATTTATGGCGACTATCGGATAGCGCGATACAGAAAGGAACGGATCTTGTGAAGAATTTCCTTGAAACAGCCAAGTCAGCAAAATGTGGAGCAAAATTGCTCACCTTTATATCTAAAAATGTTACCTGAGCGCATGAAGTATATAATCCTATAAACACATGTAAATTAAAGAATGAAGCATATAATCCTATCAATAAAAAAGACTTTACTGTAAATAGCTATAAAACATTAATGTGTTAAATGCGAATATATATTTTTAATCTTTCAGTTTAAGTTTATTAATGCAGTGCCTGAAATTTAGTATTAATGCTTATTACAAGGTTTAGATCAGTGTTATTAATAAGAAAAGAAAACGATAATTATTATACCTAAATGTAATATTTAAGCAACAAATGTAATTCGCATGCAACAATGGCAATCACTATTTTACTGGGTACAAAACGACCAATCTAAGTGATTCATTAGTTGAACCCATTTTGTAGAGGAAGTTACATGTAAATTGATATTCAAATACATAGCAGTGTTGATTTTTGTTTGGTGTGTATTAAAAAGAAACGTTTCATATTTTTGTAACTAATGAACATACACATTGCAAAATTATACAAATATAACATGGATAAACACACATATATGCATAATCCAGAGGCAGATTTAATCGACAGTGGGGACGCCTCCCCCCCCCCCCCCCCTAAATGGAGCTCCATATATGATAAAAAAAAAATGAAATATAATTTTTTTTTTTCAATCATTAATGAAAGTGAAATAGTGAAATAATAATTTGCTTTTAGCAGCCAATTTTGTTCAAATGTGTCAAAATAAGCTAAGAAACATCGCTGATGAATTATTCACTTGCATGTGCGACCTCATTGAACCCGTATTCATGTGACGTTCAATTTAATCCCTTAGTTAGAGATGGGTTACGCATAAACTGAAAAAACGCGTGTTCAGCTATTAAAAGGAAAATGATGTCAACATTGAAAGTGAAAAAATGGTAAATCATTTGGTTGACTTATTCGATCCACAAAAACTCATTCTTTTACAGGTAAAAACGATGATTAACATATTTGTTTAACCTATAATATGAAATCAAACAGACCTAGAAAAATCCAATTGCACGTGTTCGCTATCTATCTATATCTATATTTATGTTTATATCTGCTTATATGACCGTCGGCAGTCTTTGGAGGTCAACTCGATGGTTAATTAGATGGCGTCTGGACTGAAATACACACGAAATGCTGATACATATTATCGTTATCGAGTCAATGCATCATAAATTGTTTATTTTAGACTTTTTATAATGTGGATATACATTTTAGTATTTATAAGTCAACTTTGAGAATTTGAATCAAATTGGTGAACTTGAATTTGATAGCTAATGTCCCTTTAAGGGGACCTGTTTTGTGTGTGTCGCTTCAATATAGACCAGATTAATGAATAAATATATATTACTGTGTTCTGAAGCTAATATTCATGTAGTGTGTTATCCTCACAAATCATTATTTAGTTGTGATTAATTCAAGAATAGTTTGAAAAAATATGCCATTTTAATTTGGTTATTTTTCCGTTTCCAAAGTTAAAATGTCAGTGGTTATATAACTAAAATTCAACAACCTATGAAACATCAACTTATAACAGCGTGTCTCAATGAATAAACATTAGTTACTTACCTAAACACTTGCATATTTTAAACACAACGCACCACAACGAAATGTGATGACCGATTTACCACGCTTTGGATACTTTTGATTAGATATTAAAGCTTCGATATGAAAGAATACATTCTTCCTTTCGAAAACCCAATATTACGGTACTCGTGGTGACAGATATATTCGAAATATAACTGGTACATTCGAAGGCCTAATTGATAAAGTGCATGTGAATAAGTTTAAATACGGTTGTTCTACTTTTCACTATTTACAGTGCATGTAGTTAACGGGAAAATAAACTGCTTCATAATCTTTTATAAGTGTGCACTTTGTCTCATTTCGGATGGAGTTAAGACGATTCTGTTTGTTTTCAATTCATTTTTGGTCCGTTTATACAATGACGTCGTATATCTGAACTGACTATGGGTTATGATACTTAGATGTTTGGCATTGCACAGGCCTAGGGTTATGATTATTACGTCTTTATTATAAATCCGTGAGATTTACTGATTGATATTTTAACATAGTTTTCAGTCCCGTTGGCAATAATAACACATCTCCTTATTTATAACGTGACCTGTAACATTATTATATTTTTGAAAATAGCACAATATTACCTTCATTTTGTCAACTTATAAATTAAGGCGACAGTAGTGTATCGGTGTTCCAATCTCGCAAAGCGATCAAAAAGAGACAAATCAACGTAACAAACAAAAACTGAGGGAATCGCATGAACTCCAAAAAGAACGAGACCGGGCGCGTAGACAGGGTAAGCGTCTACTGCTATAACAAATAAATCATGTTTTCTTTATATTGTAATACTGCCTCAAATATTAAAGTTTTTTTTTCTTTAAGATATGGGGTAATTGAATATGATGTGACTAATTTTAAGGAATTCAAAGAATTATTTAAAATTTACTGTCGGTTTTATTTTTTTCACTAGTATCAAATGGCGAACCTTTGTAGCAGACCTTCATTGTGTTATTGCCTCTAAGTCGGATTAATAAGGCAATATCAATTCTGAAAAGGGGCCTCGGTGGCCGAGTGGTATAAGTAGTTACTACTGTAATCACTAGCCAGTCAACACTGAGGTTGTGAGTTCGAACCCCGCTTGTGCGGGTGCACTCGACTCCAATTTTAATTGACTAGGATTGTCAGTTTTCCTATCGAAGGTCGGTGGTTTTCTCCGGGCACTCCGGCTTCCTCCACCAATAAAAACTGGCGCCACGAAATAGTCCAAAAGCGGTGCATAAAGTGGCGTTAAAACACCAAAAATCAAATCAAAATCAAATCAATTCTGAAAATGTCAACTGAAACTATCACATAAAATCAAAAATTTATACATTTCTTTAGGCAAATGATTTATTTCTTCAGTTACAAAATATAATTATTGTATAGAGCTTGTCAAGATAAACAAGTATTGATAAGATGATAAAATGAAATCTAACAAATACAGAAATGTTGATATAGAGACCAAATCCACCAATATGATTATAAGAGATCCAGCCCGTTGTGTTACTGATCCTCTCATCTCTTTTCACCTGAAAAAAATAGTTATCTTATTTTTAACGATTTTTGGGGTAATATATAAACTGTTATTCAGTTCAAGAATTTTAAATTATTACTAATACAGCAAATGCATATTAATGGTGAATAATGAAGGATTCGTGCATTTTGTATTGCGGAAAGTAAATTTTGTATTGCTGAAAGTAAATTTTGTATTGCTGAAAGTTAATTGTGTATTGCTGAAAGTAAATTTTGTATTGCAAATTACGCATGAGCATCGTTTTATTTGAATATCATAAATGAATATGTGGTAAAATACCTTGCTCTATTGACATTCAAGATAACAGCCAAAAAATGCAAAAACCGATCAAAATGGATATTTCAAGGGCAATAACTCCAGGTTGTTGGATTTTTCTTAAATTCTCAATGTAGATAGATCTTGTTCTGCTTATTACTTTTCTAACCATAATTTAGAAATAGGTCCATGTTGAAGACCGTACTTTGACCTATAATGGTTTACTTATATAAATTGTGACTTGGATGGAGAGTTGTCTCATTGGCACTCATACCACATCTTCTTATATCTACCTACATCTTTGAATATAAGGATTGTGCATTTTACGAAGTAAATCAAATTTGAAACTTGGTTTATAAGCTCTTCACTTTTAATACGTTTTGGATTTTCAAATTATAGTTTGGCCATGAGCATCACTGAAGAGACATTTATTGTCAATATGAGCATCTGGTCCAGAAAAATTGTACTGATAATGCATGTCAGATTGATCATTCAACAGTAAAATTAAATCATTTCTTTACTTTGACAGAGGAAATATTTTATTTTTGAAACATTCGTTGAGCAGAGAAACAGGATGACTATAAGATATAGTTTTATCAAAATTGACATCTATCTAACATCTATCTAACCACTGCTATCCATCATATTTGTCAACCGCACCGGCATTATTGTAAAAAAAAAAAAAATAAAATGTATACAAAAACTATGCAATACAAAATGTTAAATACATCACACAAAATGTGTGGGGTTTACCCCCCATTGTTTGACAACAATGCTCTTAGTTATGACGGCATACCTTAACTCTGCCATTTTGGGACTTTATTGTTTCTTTTCATTAATAGATATATCTGTAAAATGTTTTCGGGGAAAATTAGACAAAAGAACGACACTGCAATCCTGATCAATAGTTATTGGTTCGGGAATGCAAATTAATGTGTACGTTGTTTTACACAAAAGTGTTTTAAAAGTAATTCTGTAGTTATTGTTCTCAGATCTGCATACGTCATCTTATTCGAGTCATTAAAATTAACTTATTACCCATTGCCTTATTGAAGTCGTTTGGTAGAATCGGTTCTACTCTTCCCAATTTGTTCTTAGCATCTCTTTTAATTCTGCTGTCGTATGCATGCCGTCCACTGGCTGTTCCTGCTAACACTGCCATCAGCATCAACAGTATGGTACACAGAATTTTGAATATCTTCATCTTGCTTGTTTTGTATTTACCTTAACATAAATTGAAAAGAATTTGTGTTGTACTTGCATAAAACTTTATTGAAAAGTGTATAGAAGGATTTCCGTGTGCACACGTGTTTCTTGAATTATCTTCTTTACTCGGGACTAAAAGTTAGAAAAGCCAAAATATGCTGATGTTACAATTATATTTAAACTTAAGCTCAGCGTGCAGTTTTGATTAAGTCGTTTTTTGAAAGATTGACTTTTTTTGATTTCTGATTAAGAAATTAAAAATAGAAAACGGGCGAAAAGAGAAAATATGAATCATTATTTGAGGTACCTGTAAAGTGAGAAACGGATTGAAAACGGACTGAAACGAAACAACACAACACGAAATTTGCCAAAACGAAACGAAACGAAACAAAACGAAATATGACGAAACGAAATGAAATGAACATTGAATTTTACTTAAAAGTTATTGTAAAAAAATAAAACAAGAGGCAGACGGATCTAAGCGGAGAAAATTAAATGAAAAATAAATATTTCTCAAAAGCGGAGAACTAATTTTAAAATAAGAAACACTTTAATCGTGATCGTTCTTAAGTAGGAATAAAAAGAACGAAACGAATTTAATCATTTTTAATTGCAAAAAATAATAATTAAAAATTATAAGAAGAGGTTGTATTTCTTTAAACAAATCGGACATCACATGAGGTATCAGAATCTTGAAATTTTTAAGGTTTTGCATCTATTGGAAAAACACAATGTTTAAACCTATTCAAAAATGCATTAAACAGATTAATTTTACTTAATATAATAAAAAAATTACTAATAGAAGCTAAGCGTTTCAAATAATTTATTCAGAACTATTTTGGTTTTTACAATTAATCATTAGATAACAGCGAATTTCGAATTTATTGGTCGAAATGGACAAAGGAATAATCGGTTGGATAATTAACTCCTTTTTCATTATTGTGTTTATTCTACACTTTTGCCCAAACCGGCGTCACTTGCTTGATAAAGCGCCCATTATTAAGGAGTAGCAGTGAAACTGACCAACTCGCAGTAAGCCGAATAATGTGGTAGGATTGAGTATGTAAATATTTGCCACTGTACGTTAAGCATTAAAATGGTTTAATACACGTGTATTCCCTCGATTTTAGTTTTAATGTTAATTTGCTTTACGGCTTCTTACTATCTGCATCCATGTCGGCAGATGGAATCATTGAACGTACATTTTGAACGATCATCTTTAGTCTTTTATCAACTGTCTCGGTTCTTATAAATCCTTGGCTTTCAAATATTCGGCTTTGAGCGTTCCTGGTGAAGGTAAATCCAGAAAAGCGCTTCGGACGCATGAAATTTTAACGTGTTGCTTTAATTTTTTACCGATTGCATGACAATCATATATTGCCTTTTATCATTGATTTCATTGATTGTTGATTGCTTAACGTCCAGTGGCAAACATTTCATGCATAACCAGGACGATAACAAGTAAACAATAAACACAATAAGGAGGTCTTATAATAGAGGCCATCCGTTATGAAGGTCGGGGAAATTTAGACTGCCACTGGGAAATGAGGGAAACTTGGATAGAGACAGAAATTTTGCCATGCAACAGGTCACCTACAGACCCCTCAAAGAGTTGTTTCAAGGGTTCTTGACGTGCAAAGAACGTGGCACTCTCTCTACACAAGGCATCGGATTTTACGTCCCCATTCTGACCGGACGTGGAAAATACTTGTACATCCCGCACAGTCAAACGAACGCCCCACTTCGGCAAGGGTTTTACTGCAGGTCGGAAGAAGACATGTAGTGACAAGTTTCTATTCTCCAGTCACCCGTGGGGGGATCATTGATTTCAATTCTAAGTATTGGTACGATAGGTGAAATACTGAACCAATGGTGAACATTGTGCTAGCCTCGAAAGTAGGAAGTTGTTGATTGGATTCCAGTTTTTTTTATATTGATATCTGCTTTACACTGCTTACCCACTATACACGATGTATTTAAGAGTAAGACCAAATATGAGCAGCTTGGAGCCAGGATACTGTTAAAAGGTAGAACTTTAACATCCAACTCAGCGTGTTGGTCTTGTAAAAGCTGAATACATTCATACCACATAAACATGTAACATAAACATTATGTTTCAGCCTGAATGTTTATGTAATAGTTGCCGCTGTATGTCATCGCCCATCTATCCATGTGTAGCTGTCGGCATTTTGATTAATGCGTGACATCAGTTTTAATTATATGAGCAACACCCTGTTTACTTAAATATTGTAACGGTTAAGTTGTGAGGTAGTTTTGATAATGACATATTTTGTTTGTGTTTATAATTTTATGTTTGTGTATGCGTTATTTTTTTCTCTTGGACAGAGCTTTCAGATGGTTAACCTGTTGCACCATCCGTTTTAATACATTTTAAGGAAGAAAAATACATTGTTTAAACAAACCCGTAATTTGAAATAATGTTTAAAAGTTCACATCGCCGATAAACATATTAGTAAGTTGAAGTGACAAATCTTAATGGTAAACTTTTTTTTTCTATATTTACTTTTTGTTTATTGTTTTAGCATAGTTTAGGTTGTTGGGTGTTTCATTTTATCATGTTGTGTAACATGGTAGGTAAAGTGTCCAGCTGAGATCGTGTTTTTCGGTCCACTTTTTTCGAGTGTAGATCAGGTTTTTTCAAGCCATATTAAATCAGTTCGATTTACTGCTATTTCGCAAGTATGATAGTTTTATTCGTGACTGTCCATCTTATTCTGAATACTATAGATATTTTCAGCATAAACTACGCACAATTTCCTTGAATTTCACTTAAAATATCAGCGTTTTACATTGTCCGAGTTTTTTCGACATCAAAATTTAAAACGTCCAGGTTTTTTAACAAACGGTCCGGAGTTTTGGAAGAAAGCGTGAATAAGAAAGTAGGCATTCTTGGAATTCAAAACTGATTTTTTTCTAGTTTACAACTGTAATTTAGTACAGAACTATATATTCCAAATAAATATTACAATGTTGATCAAATTTAACCATTTCACAGACCACCAACGGACCCCTTAAAGAGTTTTTGCAAGGGTTCTTAACGCACAAAGAGCGTTGCACTCTCACTTCGTACTTGTACATCCCGCACAGCCAAACGAACGCCCACTGTGGCAAGGGTTTTACTGCAGGTCGGAACAGCACCTATATGACAATATTTCTATTCTCGCTCCCCCCTTGGAGGTAAGCAATTTTAGAAAGGTTTGTTATAAATTATGTCAGTACTCATGTCAGTACTCATGTCAATACTACTAACTGATCAGCGCTTTATCAAGCAAGTGACGTTTGGGCAAGAGTGTGGAACAAACACAATAGTCAAAAGGGAGTTATCTATCCAGCCTAGAATTCATTTTTGTCCATTTCAACCAATAAATTCGAAATTCGCTGGTATCTTTTAATTAATTGTTAAAACCAAATAGTTCAGAATGAATTATATGAAGCGCTTAGCTTCTGTTAGGGATTTATTTATAAGTAAATTTATCTTTTTAATGCATCTTTAGATAGGTTTAAAAATTGTGTTTTTTTTTCCAATAGATGCAAAACCTTAAATATTTCAGGATACTGATATCTCATGTGATGTCCAATTTGTTTAAAGAAATACAACCTCGTCTTTAAATATTTTTTTATTTTGCAATTAAATTTTTCTTAAATCGTTTCGTATTTTTATTCCTACTTAAAAGAATGATCATAATCAAAGTGTTTCTTATTTTAAAATTAATTGTCCGCTTTTGAGAAATATTATTTTTTTATTCAATTTTTCTCCGCTTAGATCCGTTTGCCTCTTGTTTTATTTTTTACAATAACTTTTAAAGTAAAATTTAATGTTCATTTCATTTCCTTTCGTCATATTTCGTTTTGTTTCGTGTCGTTCCGTTTTTATTCCGTTTCGCACTTTACAGGTACCCCAAACGCAATAATGATACATATGTTCTCTTTTCGCTCGTTTTTTATTTTTGATTTCTTAATCAAAAATCAAAAAGTTCAAACGTTCAAAAAGCGAAATAATCAAAACTGTGCGTTAGGTCTATTATTTTTAAAGTTTGGTTGAATATCTAAACAATCAAATTTTAAAAACGAATTTTAGAATTTAAAAATTTTAATCATTTGGTGAAATTTTCAAAATTTAAAAAAAATTCAAAAAAATTGGAATGTTGATATTTTAAAATTTTGATCAAAAATCAGAAAAACTAAAATTTGATAACTTTTTTAAAATAGGGATGATAATGAGGTCTCGACGGCGTTATGAACGAAGCTTAATGTTCCAGAAGATAGAAGAATTGGACAATCCCTATTCTTATATAAAGATTAGCAATATTATTTGTTTCCGTCTGTAACTTCACTATTGCAGGAACTAAAATATATCATTATACTCCATTTTAAAATGCCAGATTTTGATTGGCTAATACGAGGGAGATAATTTACTCTATCCCATGGCTCAGTGGGAGACATTTTAATGAATGTCACCATCTCGTGCAGACCTATCAAAAATAGACAATTTAAAGGACAATGAATAGAATTAACAATGGATTGAATTTACATTACTAATTTTAAAGACAATGCTCAAGTTTAACGTTTTGTCCACAGAACTTTTTCATAGACTGTTAAAATAAAAAAATAAATCTTGCTTCACTTTTGTCGTTTTTTTCGAATCCATGACAACTCGCCCCACTGCAAAATCGCCCCACACCAAATCGCCCCACTCTTGTTTACCAACTCGCTCCACTTATGAAGAATAATAAAATCTCTTTGAATTTACTCCTGCCAATCCGCCCCTATATGAAAAAGGTTAAAATCCCGTTGAATTTAGTCCTGATAAGTCGCTCCACTTGTGAAAAAGAGTAAAATTCCGATGAATAAAGGTCTGCCAACTCGACCCTCTTATGGAAAATAGTAAAATCCCGACTACTCTTTTTCATAAGTGGGGCGAGTTGGCAGGACTAGATTAAACGAGTTGGTAAACAAGAGTGGGGCGATTTGGTAGAAAGTGGGGCGAGTTGGCGGAAAAGTGGCGCAATTTGGCATTTGGGCGAGTTGTCTTGCTTCCGTTTTTTCTAATAACTGTAACATTGATATATACATTACGTCATAAATAAGAACTTTCAATTTAAATTTTAAAGATAATAATAATAGACCATTCAGTATAATAGATTAAATAAACTCCTAACGGGAGGGGTTGTGCTTGATTTTCATATGATGAAGACATAATCTTTCAATCAGTATAATTGAGGCCTGGAGCTGGCATGTCAGTAACTGCTAGTACTGTTAATGTATGTATCGTTGACATTTTGCTTAGTTTCTTCTTTTACCTATTCTGACATCGGACTCAGACTTCTTTTAAACTGAGTTTTACTGGGCGTATTGCTGTCTGTTTGTTTATTCTACGTTGGCTAGAGGTATTAGGGGAGGGTTGATATCTCACAAAGCATGTTTAACCCCGCCGCATTTTAGCACCAGCCTCTCGTCTTTGTTAGTCTTGTATGCTTTTTTTTCAATTTCAGTTCATTTATATGTTTCGGAGTTTAGTGTGACGTCCATTTTCACTGAACTAGTACACATTTTTGTTTAGGGGCCAGCTGAAGCCCGCCTCCTGGTGTGGGATTTTCTCGCTGTGTTGAAGACCCATTGGTGGCCTTGGGCTGTTTTCTGCTCTTTGGTCGGGTTGTTGTCTCTTTGAAACATTCCCCACTTCCATTCTCAATTTTAAAAAAACAAATAGCTGAGAGGGTGATAGAGCATGTTGGTACCCCTCGAAAAAAAATCTGCTCTATCACCCTCTCAACTATGTGTTATTTATATATTATATGTATGTATGATTGTGTGAATTAAAATGGTTTCAATTACAGTTTGTTTTTAAAAGAAAATTGCACATACATTCATTTTCATGAGATTATGGAATAGTTAATAATTATGTTTTAATGTGCATTGTTTTAGACAGTTATTGCATACAGATGTATCTTTTTTATTCTCTAGTATTCATAGTAAGTATTTCCGTCCTTTCCTCTGTAAATATATTATAATTATTTTCAAAATGACAATGTTTCTTTCAAAAAAGTCGACTACTTGTACTATTTTCTGTAGACCTTTTAAAGTAAGTTTATTTTTATTAATATTATAATAAATATTATTAATACTTTTATTATTATTGTTATTATTATTTATTTATTTTCGTTAATTTATTACTTTTAAAACATTATATTTATGATATTTACCTTGTGATGTTTAATCTCACAGAGAAACACTGGTTTGTGGAACAAGAGGACTTAGTTTGTTGCTATAATATTGTCATTGTTATTTTGAACAATTTTTGACACAATTAGGAAGATACTTATCACAACAATAAATATTCTTGGTTTTTTGTTTGTTGTTCTTTTCATAAAAAAGATATTGCATTTATCTTTTTAATAAATTTCTGTTGAGTCTGTGCCAAATTAAAAAAATTGTATATGTTTTAAAATTTTAAAGTAAATGAAAATCAGATAAGAAGAAAGTAATTTCACCGGGTATAATTACTATTGAGAATTTTCTAATTTAAACAAAATTTAACATATTTGACATATTGGTTAAAGTGTCAAATTTTTATTTAAGAAAAACAACCTTCTTTTCAACTTTTCATAAAAGATTTTACCTGTGTGATGTAATTGTTTCTATTTAGTTCTCGCATTATGAAGCATTTTCATAAACGTCTTATTCTCTTTCAGTTTTAAACTTTAAATCAGGTATAAATAAGAATAAAAGAATGTGTAGGGTAAATGTGAATGAGACAGCAATCCAACGACGCAATTGATCAAAACTGAGCCATCTTTATTGTTGTTAAAGAACATAAGATCCCATGATTAAAAATAATGATATTTCCATTAATCGATCAAGATTCTTAAGAATGTCACAAAACTGGAAATAACTGTTCAAAATTATCTATATACTGTGGTACTTTTCATACAGCAGTGACATATTTTTTTTTAATATCCTTATTCTATATTGCATGCATGATTGCAGGAAGGCGAATAGGTTGTCCTAAGGTAAAAAAAAAACCCAACACAGTTTAAATCACAAACATACCTGCAAATTACACCCCAATTAGAGCAAAATTAAAACGCTACATAATGTACATTGCTATTAAGATGCAAATGTTGCAACAAATGGTGCTGAAAAGAGGGATAGGGATTTAATATGCATTAAGGGAACTATCATTTGATTTTTAAGTGTGTGTGTGTGTGTGGGGGGGGGGGGGGGGGGGGGGGGGGGAGGGGACTAGGTTTAAATTTGAAAAAAGGCAGGATGAGCAACTTTGCAAAAAAAAAAGCAAGTTGACAATTTATGTTAAAAAAAGTCAGGATGAACTAATAAAATAAAGGCAGGACAGGAGTTTGGAAGTAAAAAAAATGCAGGATGAGGAACTTTGCAAAAAAAAAGCAGGATGACAATTTACATGTATGTAAAAAAAAAGTCAGGATAAACTAATAAAAAAAAAGAAAAAAGGCAGGACCGAATAGAGTGCAAAATAAAAAGGAAGGACAGAGATTACAAAAAAAAAAAGCAGAACAATATTTTTCATCCTTGGCAAAAGTCGCGGAAGGCGAGACATAGGGATTGCATTTCCGGTAAAGGCTCCGGCTCCGGCTCCGGCGTCAACAATAGTAAAGTTTTCTGCATAAGTTTGATAAGAATTACTTGTGATAGATCATTGAAATTTAACATAAAGTTGCATTACTATCAGTGCATATCAGTTTGATGACTATTTTGAGGCCCTGTCCCCTAGAACATTGTCCAGTGACTTTGAATTAATTAGCAATTTTCAATGTTAAGTTTTCTGCTTAAGTTAGTTTGATAGGTTCTTCTTGTGATAGATCATTGATATTTAATACAAAGTTGCATTACTATCAGTGCATATCAGTTTGACGACTATTTTGACGCCCTACCCGCTAGAACATGGTCCAGTGACTTTGAATTAATTAGCAATTTTCAATGCTAAGTTTTCTGCTTAAGTTAGTTTGATAGGATCTACTTGTGTTAGATCAATGATATTTTGTATGAAGTCGCATTACTATGTCTAGGTTAGTCTATGGAAAGGTATATACTATGAAATTTAGAGCGAGGGGCTTGAAAATTAGAAGGCAAATATAAGCAATTTGATTGGACGAGAAGTTGTAAGTATGTGCTAAGAGTACATATCAGTTTGATGACTATTTCGAGGCCCTGCCCTATTTGTCATGGTCCACTGACTTTGAATTGATTAGCAATTTTCAATGTGAAGTTTTTCTGCTTAAGTTATATTGATAGGACTACTTACAGTAAACAACGATATTTTCTATAAAGTTACATTACTGTCTGTACATCTCAGTTTGTCGACCATTTTCAGGCCCTGCCTACTAGATTATGGTCCAGTGACCGACTTAATAAGCAATGTTGCTGTCCATCAGATTGTCTTTTTCTGAATTTTATGCCGATAGGCGAGACATATCTCTGTGTCAACAGTTTATTACCTTAATTAAACACTTCAAAAACTTACACGTATAAAAGCTTAAAGAATGTATGCCCCTTGACACCTTTCAGTGGTTCAAGCTCAGTCAAAGGCATCACTCACCTTGATAAACCAAACCATACAAGATGAGATCTTTAGTTTTGATTATATTTATCACAGATTTAAATCTAATATGCACTTTTGAAATATACAAAGAAAAATTTACCTTCATGATTTACATTTCGAGATATTTCAGTGTGACTTTGACATTTTTGTGGTAAACATTTCAATCCAGGTCTTCTTCTTCAGGCCGGCAGTTAAACCCTTGCAAAAGTGGGGGCGTCCGTTTGGTTTGTTTAGAATGTATACGTTTGTTATACACTTATCCGGGAATTACATTTAGCCCGATAATTTACTCTTACGAAATACTCTTATCCTGGAAATTTCATGTTTATCAAAAAAATATACTTACAAGTATTAACAAGCGGTTCTATTATTTGAGATCGTAAGTTATATTGATGAATTGTATTTTTTATGCATTTACTATTAATTTACTTACAAATTCATTTAACTAATACCGAAATAAGAATCATAGCTGCCGAGATCTAAAATGATGTCTCCCATGTATCTGTTACCCCTTAGAAAACTTGAAATAGGAACCAGCTCTAGTTCGCGCTATTTCCGAAGTCCGTTATCAAGATGAAGTTTTCAACAATATCGATGTTGTTTAACTTTTTATTATTTCTTCTGATGAAAAATGTCAACACTCACAGAAATGAAAAAGAAAAGGTATGTATTAATTATTTGTGGCTTTTTTTTAATTGATAAAAAGCTTGTACACACAATTTTAATCATCATAGTGCAAGTAATATGCCGAAATCTTTTTAACATATAAAATTCTTTCATGTCAAAACAATTAAATCCAAATGATAAAGAGATAAACAAGAAACTTTTTTTTTAAACTTATACCGCTCCAAACATAACCCAACTTACCCTATTTGATTATATTGACATGTTCTCAAATACCGAAAATACAGAAAATATAGTGTGAGGGTTCAAGAAAAAACTTTAAGGTTTGTCGAGGAAGAAAAATTCGTAAGATATCTTAAGTTTAGATAGGTAATTTTTCTAAACCTCATAACTCATTTAATCTATGATTTTGAACATCAAACTCTTACATTTATATGACAATGGGACGATAATTTTATTTTGCGAGGGTGTAAAAGGGGGAGGATTCACTTGAAAATTTTTGTAACTTAAAACTTCATTCTTTGTGGATAAGAGAATAGGTGTGCATACTTTTGTAACAAATCTAACACAGGTGATCCCACAATACCTTATACTCTATATTTCAATTTTGCCGGTGATTAAACATTTGTAGTAATTATTCAATCGGAAAGTACAGCATCAAATACTGTATCACAAATCAAATTTAAATATTACTGATCCGACAGAAATAAAAAAATATCATATTTTTTTGTTTTTGTTCTGGGATTTTATAATACTATTTAGAGGGTACAACGTGTATACATATAATACATAAAAAAAAAGAGCGGATCGCTTGGTTTGAGCGTGCTCGTATTTAAATGAAATTCTGGTAAGCTCATACTAGTATATTATTTATTTTTTCCCCTTCTCAATAACTCTACAATATGAGTTTACAAATACGACCGATTTATTTTACTTAAAAAAGTGTTTTCTCATTTAAATGGATATTTTGATATATATGGACATTCGTATTTTCCTGGAATAAAATTCAAGTAATTTAATTGATTATTTTATACACTAACAGTGTATACAAAAAAATCTTGAGCTATACTCTAAAGGTACCACCGCTCTAAGCCCTCTTTGTTTGTTTTAATGTATCGAAATAAGCAGTATATGCAACTGAACCAACCATTGCAAAATTAATAAATCTGTCAACATTCAGTCATTACCGTCTCCTCGGACTGCGGCTTTCTTACTACCTGATTGGAAGATATTACCGACGCTGTAATAATTAAAGTTCTTTGATTGGTTGGGACAATTCAAACCTAGTAAATGTCTTTTCATCCCGTAGAGTGTCGGATCTAAACTCTTTAATTTAGTAAATAGATTTGCCTGGTTACCAATCATGTGTGAGGGGATGGTTCTGGATACAGTGTATGGGGTATATTCCAAGGCACTTCAAATAATACTCAAAGCAGCAAAACAAATAACAATTTAATGAAAAGAAAGTAAAGACATATTCAATTCAATATTTAACACATCAAAACATCTTAATAACATTTAGACAGAAACACTTCCAAACATTAATGCCTAAACCAGGTTAGCTTAGCCATCATGACGCCACAAGGCTTGCATATATGCAGCTTAATTTCAGACAGGCAACCCGTGTTATCGTAGTTTGTTTTAATGTGCATCGCACTCAGACAAGGGAACCCGTGTTTTGGCAATTAGGTCATATTCAAATATTTTAATTATTTCATTTAAATAACTTCTTTCAAAATGGTAAGCAAAAATAAATAACATTGTAAAATTATAGCAAACGCCAAATAAATAAAGGAACTCAAATGTCAGTCTTGCTCAAAATATGAATACTAAATAGAATAAATCAAATGTAAATGAAATATTATCAAGCAAATCAATTAACAGCCTGAATAATTAAGTTATGAAAAGGGAAATAATCCATTCCTATTACACATGGTTACAAGAGCGCAATTATTCGTAATGCATTTTCCATAGGGTACCAGTGGTGTTCCGTATTTTTTTCTCGAAGACTACACAAACTAGCAAAAAACGGGTAGCAGTTCCTGTTACTGGAAATGCCAGTGTTGCATAACAACCAAAAAAATACATATGGTCATGCGGCAAAAATTGACTTAAATTGCAGATGAAAAACATCGTCTATT